GTTAGACAATAATTATGACGCAACGGACGAATGATTTAGACGAACCTACCGAGACAGCAGGCGTCGCAGTGTTCATTTTGAAAGTCACATTAAACAGACCCTCGTTATACCTACCGGACTTTTACTCTTTATACAGTTCGTTAGGTGAAAGATTCATATATAACAGATCCCTCGATATAACGGACTTTCTCCTCCATAATACAATAAACATTAATTTCACTGCAACTCCTTCACCTAAATATGGATCACAGGTCCACTCTATCACTCAACTTGTCACTCTTCCAAGTATGATTGGTCAGGCGCCAAATGACGTCATCGTCACTTCGCCCCTACCATCACAACATATATATCTATATTGTTATGCGTATACACTACGGCTATATCACCACCACCTACCATCACTACTACTACAGAATTTCAAGTTAACAATATTAACACTCATAAACTTTAACCAAAAATTATTTCCAATTAACCTTTTGAGATTTTCATAGCACATGCACACATACACAGACGCACACATACACAGACGCACACATACACAGACGCACACAGACAGACGCACACATACACAGACGCACACATACACAGACGCACACAGACAGACGCACACACACACGTTAGTTTAGCTGGAGAACATCATGATCCTCTTGAGATAATAATACCACAATATTACCAGTACAAGAATAACGATAAAGTTAGGTTATTCACCGAGCTCTGTGTAGGTGATCCACTGTTGTTCCTCCCAGCCATGTTCCGTGTTCCCCCACTTAACTCGTTGTTTCACTTGGCCTTCCTGTTCCACCTTTTCCCCCCAGCACAAAATCTTCACCAAACACACACCAGCTCACTGTTGCACGAGTAAACAAACACTTCCAGCGCCCACTATCAGGTAACCTCGTACAGCCCCTTGGCATACCCCTTAACTCCGCTGTAAACCACACACACTGGGAGCTTATCACTACTTCCAGAGAACGTCAGTAGTGTTTACATATCTATATTTCCTTCACTGCTCTGGAACACCCCTTCCCCAGCTAAATGAGCTGCACTATGACTTAGAAACCCATGGCTGCCAACTAACTCACCATCCGCCCTTGACTGCCTGCCAATCTTCCACCAATTTAAATTTTTACAAATATACTCCCTCATCTCCCTCCCTCCACCACCTCACCTGTGGCATAGGTGAACTTCTTCCCTCTCAACATACACCAGCTTCCTTCCTGCTAGTTCTCAATCGACCTCATTTGCACCGTAAGTTGGGTGTGTGTAGTACTTCAAGTAATACTCATCAAAGTGTTGTTTTATATGGAATCAGTACTACTCTCGAGAACTTACATTTATATATATATTTTTTTCATGACAAACATCACCAGTCACAAAATGTAGACTGATGCATCAAGTGAAGGACAATGGTGATAGTTGATTACTTAAAAGGTTAAACGCCTGTTACTGGACTCGAAAAACTTGTTATTTTAGCTTTCAACAGCTTAAGTTCGTTGCTGCACACGAGAATTCAACTTTAATCACATCTACCGTTATAAAGCTAAAAATACTTTGTTTAATACCGTTTAAGGGGGATTTACTGCCCAGGATTGCTATCATAAGTTGAATAGACAGATCAGCGAAGTCTTTGGTATTTCATTTCCATAATATTCGTGGTGGAGTGGGGTAGAACGAGCAGGGTGGGGTAGAACGAGCAGGGTGGGGTAGAACGAGCAGGGTGGGGTGGGGCAGAACGGCAGGGTGGGGCAGAACAGGCAGGGTGGGCAGAACAGGCAGGGGCAGGCAGGACAGTGGGGTGGGGGCAGAGAGACGAGGCAGGTGGGGCAGAACAGCGGGGGGCCAGAACAGGCAGGGGTGGGGGAGCAGGGTGGGGCAGACGGAGGGCAGGACAGGGGTGGGGCAGCAGGGTGGGGCAGGACGAGCAGAGGTGGGGCAGGACGAGCAAGCAGAGGGGGGACGCAGAACAGGCAGGGTGGGGAGAGAACAGAGCAGAGTGGAGACAGGCAGAACGAGGCAGGGTGGGGCAGACAGGCTTGGGGGCAGAGAGCAGGGTGGGGCCAGGAACAGGCAGGGGTGGGGCAGGACAGGCAGGGGTGGGGACCCAGGACAGGCAGAATTGGGGAGGGCCAGAGACAGGCAGGGGTGGGGCAGGACAGGCAGGGTGGGGCAGGACGAGAGCAGGGTGGGGCCAGGACAGAGAGATTGGGGCAGGACAGCAGGGTGGGGCAGGACGGAGGCAGGTGGGGAACAGGACAGGCAGGGTGGGGCATTAGAGGTGGGGCAGCAGGACAGGGACAGGGGTGGGGACAGGCCGAGGAGGGGGGAGACAGGGGGCAGGGGGCAGGACGAGCAGGGTGGGGCCAGGACGAGCAGGTGGGGAGACAGGAACAGGGCAGAGGGTGGGGCAGGACAGGCAGGGTGGGGCAGGACGGGGTGGGGCAGGACAGGGTGGGGCAGGACGAGGCAGGGGTGGGGCAGTGGGACAGGCAGGAGGCAGGACAGGAGGGTGGGGCAGGACAGGCAGAGATTGGGGCAGGACAGGCAGGGTGGGGCAGGACGAGCAGGGTGGGGCAGGACAGGCAGGGTGGGGAGACCCAGGACCAGCAGCAGGGTGGGGCAGGACGAGCAGGGGTGGAGGGACGAGAGGTGGGGGCAGAGACAGCGCAGGCAGGGTGGGGCAGGGCAGGGGCAAGGAGCAGGGTGGGGCAGGGTGGGGCAGGACAAGGCTGGGGCAGGACGAGCAGGGTGGGGCAGGACGGGCAGGGCAGGACGAGCAGGGTGTGGGCGAGGTGTGGTGTGATGGAACGGGACAGAACAGGCAGGTAGGAGCAGGGAAAGGTGGTGCTAAAGGCTGTAGATGCCGATAAACCTGAGTGTTGGCACTTGGCAAGGCCCTCCTCATACACATTAATTAACTAATACTTGGCACAAAGACAATCATCATCACCACTGTTGGCAACTATCACTCATAACCTCACTGCTCGCGTCATCTGAGGGTGGGAGGGAGGGAGGGGGACCTGCCCACCCATCCAGCTGTCAGTAAGGGCCTCTGCTCCATAGGGGGGCTGTCATGTGCCTGTCAACATACCCCGCTATAGAAAAATGGGTGGACCAATTGCCCCCCCCACTTTAGATGACGCGAGTAATGTGAAGGTTATATGTAAGTGTGTGTGTGTGTGTGTGTGTGTGTGTGTGTGTGTGTGTGTGTGTGTGTGTGTGTGTTCCTGAACCTGAGACTTACATAGGTCTTCTTAGTAAGTTGACCTACATGATTCAGTGTTTACTACTGTTGTCGTCCTATCACCACCACCCCATCACCACCACCACCCCCTGCCCCATCATCACCACCACCCCTGCCCCATCACCACCACCACCCCTGCCCCATCACCACCACCATCCCTGCCCCATCACCACCACCACCCTGCCCCATCATCACCACCACCACCCCTGCCCCATCACCACCACCACCCCTGCCCCATCATCACCACCACCCCCCATCACCACCACCACCCTGCCCCATCACCACCACCACCCCTGCCCCATCACCACCACCACCACCCCTGCCCCATCACCACCACCACCACCCCTGCCCCATCACCACCACCACCCTGCCCCATCATCACCACCACCCCTGCCCCATCATCACCCCTGCCCCATCACCACCCACCCTCCCATCACCACCACCACCCCTGCCCCATCATCACCCCTGCCCCATCACCACCACCACCTGCGGCATCCCCCCCACCACCACCCCTGCCCCAACAACCTCACTTAACTATAATACTCTATGACCTTATGAAGTTTACATAAATAACGCCAATGTTTTTATTATTTGTGTTGACTATTATGTGCAACCGACATAAAATATTGCGATGCAGTTCTTTGCATTTGCTTGGGTGAAAAAAACTTGAATAGTGACTCTTTCATATACAAAAAAAAACTGTATTTCAATATTTTATGCCGTTTGACCATTATATAATGCAGAAGGGAAAACATTAATGAAGAACACAACACAAGAATGGTGGCTTCCAAGTCCTTGTACGGTAACACGACCCGGTCGTCACTCACCATTGTTATGTTGTATTGGGGGTCGAAGTTGTTGACCACTACTTGACGATGATGGAGGAGGAGGAGTAGTAGTAAGATGACGTACACAGAGGCGCTCTATCACCAAGGGGCAGGAGCACTCCCTTCAGGAGAGCGGTCTCATAACCTCCACCGTTAGAAATCCAGCGAAAGCTCCAACACTATTTACTTCTCGGATGTAAAGAACCAGGTATCACGGGTGTAGGTGAAACAATGAACGTGGAAGAATCTTGGCAGTTTTTTAACCCTGGACAACACCACACGTTCTATTAACATCACTAATACACACACTAAATGGCTTGGATAGCTGCCTTAATGTAAGCGCTGATCAAGTGTGGACCGCTGTGATCAGGGAAGACGACTCTGTGGGGTGGCTATCCTATCTGCCCAGACGGCGTGTCTCTACCACCTACTCAGCCTGCCAACCCACCAGTCACTTCCTAGTACCTATACATATTCTTAACCAGTGTCTCCCACCACCGTCGTGATTACAAATACAGAGGCGCCACAAGAGTTTACACAATAATGAGGACGTACATTACTGTATATGTCAACAACAACAGCCTCTGAGAAGTGAAAGGCAATTGGTAGGCCTTTGTTATGGCAAGAGTGTGTGTTGGGGATACACACTGCTGCTAGTTTCACTCCTTCACTTAACACTACTCTCTCCGCCAGCTGCCCTGCACTCTACTTCACACCTCAAATTGTATCTTAAATTTTCACGAGACAATGAGTGAGCAATAAGTTTTACAAAATAAATAGGGAGGTATAATGGCGGCCGGCAACCACAGTAGTGGGGTTGAGCTGCCAAGACTGGTAGGGGTGGACAGGGGTAGGGGGTGGGGGTGATGATGAAGGGGTGGAGATGGGGCAACAACAACAATAAACTGTACACGAAAGGTAAAGGTACTCACAGGCCCGAAGGTGTACATGTGCATAACGGTCTCCTTGGACTGCTCTATCTGCCCGGGACACAACTGGATCTCGCCTTCATCAATCCTCCCTAGTAAACGGTCGACCTCCACACAAGGCACGTAATTTCTCCTCCAGGCGGCGTCATCAGCACTACTGAGCTTCTTGGGGTGTGTGTCCCTCGCAATAGGTGCCGGGGCCTCTTTAACGTCTTCGACCTCCGAGATTTGTTTCACTTCGACGTGCGGTATATAGTTGGGCACCCAGTTACAGTTACTGCTTTCTCCTATTTTCTGTAACGATCCCATTTTTTTAGACGGATGATCCCGGTCAGTTTTCTTTTTGAGAGAATTGGTAGAAAGGGAGAGACGACCAATGTGGTAAGGATTGTTAATACCATGAGGTCGGCTAGTGTTGATGGCAGAAGTGACGCTACAGCTGGCATGGCGAGTCCTGCCATCAGCTACCACAGCTGGCTCGTGGGGCAACATACCTGCAACGAGAATACCAGAATTAGGGACGGTAACTCTGTCTCCACCCCACAATTGGACACTTTAGGTCACCTTTCATAGACAGTGTCACTAGAGAGGATAAAAAGGATGTATGCTTTACTTTAAGGTTAATATATATGACTAACCCACGGACGAGTTATTTTTATTACTGTTTATTTTCTTACATTATTTTCATCGGTGATTTCTAATATGATAATCATTTATTGTGCAAATTTTTCGTTTCATGGATAATTCGGTGCCTAGGCGAGCACTAGAAAAGGTTAATTACCTTTCATTTTCGTCGAATCCTCCACTAAACTCATCTCGACGCCAGATCCTTTTTCTCTGGCAGCGGCCCCCAAACTGGCATGGCGTTTTCTCTCTCCCATGGCGAGGGAGTTGATATGTGGTCTTTGGAGAGAAGTGTAGGCGTCGTGGTATACATCCAGAGAGTCCTGTAACACATTCATATACTGTATAATAAGGTGTTTCACTAAGATCCCATTTTACGGGCTACATGTGTTAAATGTCTTTATAAAAACAATTCGTAAGGCGAATACAGCATAAATTACCCTACATAATATGGTGACTTAGCTGTAGTAGTTAACGGCGTCGCAATTGGGTACTCCTGTTAACCTAATGTACTACACTACGTACAATACTTTTTTGCTCATATCACAAAAGGTCTGGACGAGTATTTCAAGGCTGGTAAAACCCTTTAAGATGTACAGTCAACTAATAAAGTCAGTTCGCTTCTCCTCCTAATATTAAACAAACTACAATACAGGAAAATGTTTATCACGTTTGAGTATTAGAGGTGGACAGACTTAAGTCAACTATACTGCACAATGGATAACAACATTACCAAAATATCTCCTGAAGTGTACAGTAGGATGGTGTAACAGCAGGTGGGTATAACAGTATTACGTTGTAACAGCACCACATTTAAGGCTCTTGTCACACCTCACTATCACTCTACCTAACATCACTAACTCACCTGTAAGCTCTGGTACTCAATACGTTTTCTCGCTGGCTAAAAGAAAAGTAAACAACACAAAACTATAAAGTAAAATTAAAAATAGAAACATTGAAAAATATAATTATCTAAAAAATCAGAAAATTAAGTTGATTACCGATGTATTATTATTATTATTTCTCTCACGTTCACACACACGGAATACAAACACAATACCGACACAAGTATAGATAATTATAATTCATGTTTTGTATATTTACGAAACCTTGACAACGGCCATCTATTTTCTTATCAGTGATGGTTTGGGTTAAGTTGGGTTAGGATACGATAGATTAAGTTAGGTTAAGTTTGGTCTGGTTGGGCTGGGTTAGATTAGGTTAGGAGTGACTGGCTGGCTGACTGACTGACCTGGGAATTGGGAACACTGAAATAGGACTGTGCGGGGCTGGTAGTGCGGTGCTGTGGGGTGAAGAACGGATTGAAGCTGTCGATGCCATTCTCCTCTCCTTTTCCCCTCTCCTCACCACCACCGCCGTTGATGTGCCTGCAATAATAACAATAGTATGGTCACAGGATATTCAGCATTACTAATAACCTAACCCCTTTCCTAAACTAGTCTAACCTTAACTAACTAGTTAACGTAACCTAATCTAACCTTAATTAACATAACCTAACCTAATCTAGCCTAACTATTATAGATAACGTAACGTAACCTTATCTAACCCGATAACCTAACCTCATGTAACACAGCCTCACCTACAATCATTTAGGTAAACATTGTGACCAAGTCCCAGGTTGCTGATCTGACTTTCTGCCTCATTTACACACAATTGCAGGGTCTCAATTGTTTCTCTTACTACTGACAACACAACATACATATTGTATATCGTTTCTCACTCGATTTATTATTTTATTTTATTTATTTATTTGTGGCTATTAATATTTGTATTAATATTTTATATTTATTATAATTCTTATTAATTATTATTATTATTATTATTATTATTATTATTATATTTTCGTCCCCCGAGCCCTGATCTGGGTCAGTGACCAGTTTCCTGGTGGGCTAATCTTCGTAAGAAAAAAAAACAGTTTTAAGGTTTAATCGAGCAATAATTCCTGTTTAACTTCATACCATTTTTATTACCACTCTATTACGTCAGACATCACAGGTACACCACCCATCACTGACCAACACTGGAGCGGGTTCAGGTACATTCAGGAGCCAGTGCATGCCCAGTATTTGCCAACAGTGTGAAACAAACTTGACCGATCGCCCAAGTGGATAACGAGCCGATCAGTGAAGAGGATAAACGTAAAAAAAGAAAGTCTTCGTTTCAGCCACAACTCGGTTAAAACAGCTATATCTTGTCAATAGGAACAACTTTTTCTAATACCACTTCCCTCGCAAATGGATATTAACCGAGAAAGTAAATTAACGTGGGATTTGTTTTTTATCTTGAATTAAAAATTTTACAATTTAGATATATACACAATTAATTCATAATATATTTGGACGACTTTTCTTTTAAATACATTTGATCATCCATTTATTGTAATATATCCTGCTTTTATAAAGGCTATACGTAGTCTCCTTAACATTATAATTTTCCTTCCTACTTAGCCACATACAGTAAATATGATCTGACATTAGCATGATCATTGTATTCTTATCCTTATTATTACTACAGTTAATATTAAACATTAAAAAGTGCACAAATAATTTGTTATTGACATTGCAGACTGTATTAAGGAAACTCTGCAGTCACCGCGTTTCCTCTGTTTGTTCACAATTAAATCACTAGGCCTGACCTTTCAAGCACCGTGCTGCTGTAACGTCCACAAAACGTAAAATTACACAATGGTGTTTCAACAGAGTTACTTTCATTGGTACCAAATATTAAAATAAGTATTTTTGTTTAATATAGCGGGGACGGCTAGGAAGTTAGGTAAGGTTAGGTAGGTTTCTCTGGGTGGTTAGGTCAGGTTGTATGGGCGGGTGATAAATCCAAAACGACACATTTCCAACGGAAATGAAGGTGAAATTCACCTGAATCACACCAAATACCATGGTAAATACAATAATTTATGGTCGAACAGTAGTTGTGACAAACTGTAAATTTACCCCAAATAATAGGCATGTGCGCACGATAATACAGGTACACGGAATAAACCCATACGGTGTTGGGTCAGTCGTGTTAATTAGTTTACATGTAACAATACCATAATTGATTATATGGTATTGTTGCATATAGGACACACCCACATGGACTTTCCACAGCCTTTCAAAATAGTTCCAGAGAAAGTTAACGAAAGCTCCTGTAACTTACATGATGTTGGTATGTCAGATCCCAGACGTCGTGGTATTATCCAACTGGTAATCACGTAAATCCACACTAGTATTGTTTAGTTGTGACACTTATCTCAGGCGTTAACATAAAGAGGTTAGGTACGTTTACAAGATAACGTTCCCCACCACAAGTCGGCTGCACCGCCACACACACCACCACCACACCACACACTTACCATATACCTCTAACCTCCAATAATAACAGTTATTTATTTCATACATTATACCTCCTTATGTCAATTCATCGGGTAACTTTATTTGTTTATTGTCTATTGCTAATACTTAAATAAATATCCAAATTCTTCTAAGAACTCTCCTAAGCCTTGTATATTATTGTGAATGTTTCCCTACGACAACACCTGCCTCGGTTATGACGTCACGTCGTACGAGCTGGAATATTGCTAAATGGCTGGAAAAGTATTAATATAATGAATATAAGAAATGTTTAGTAAATAATAAAACCATCTCTATATTACTGTCAATGGGGAATTGCGTATTAATTTGTATTTATTATTAATTTTATTTAAGGCAAACATGAATTATTTAAAGATAAATAAGCATTAGAAACTCTTGTTATACACGCGAGCAGAATCCTCAACGTGACGAATTCAGACCAATCAGATGCCACCACTATTGATTCCTTATGTTTTCATTGGTAAAATTTGCTCCAAATTGCATTACCGGCGAGGATTTCTAAATCTCCGCCAATACTATTTGTATACAGTATTAATATATTAATACCTTACCAAAGGAGATCTCTCCAGATAGTAAAACAAAAGCTGCACCCTAAAATGAAACAATTGTCCATTCTTCTGTGGATAATTATTCGGCCAAATTATTCTGCTCATGTTATTTTGGTCTACATCACATAACAGTTTACATTAATAACCTCTGCTTACATCTTTTTCTCTAGGAACTCTTAACTGTGTGATACAAAACAATATTAACTTTGTATTCGCTTTTGAATCACATTAAAATAAATCTGAGACTGTTGGCATTTGAGTTAACTGTAATTGAATTAGTAGAATAATTGTGCTTAGAAATGAAATCCGTTCAGACTATTGTAATTAATGTAAATAATTAAAGTATTTCTACACCTTCAGCTGTGACAACTGTACGAGTGGTAGGTAGCACTTGTTAAATACCACATGTTAAACACCAAACTCTAGATAAGTTTGTTTTTTCTTTTTACTGGGACTAGCCCACCCAGGCCAGGTCACTGACCCACATCGGGGCCTAGGGGGCGAAAATGTAATGATAATAATAATAATAATAATAATAATAATAATAATAATAATAATAATAATAATAATAATAATAATAATAATAATAATAATAATAATAAAGAAATACAAATTGAAAAAAAAATGAAGTGAGAAACAATATATGTATGTTGTGTTGTCAATAGTAATAGTCTACACTAAAGTAAATCCCGTTCTCTAGACATTAATACGTTTTCTATGATGACCTTAAATATTTATGGTAAAATTAAATCGAGAGATGGCGCACCAGTAGTAGGCTGAACGTTAATTGAGTGTGTTACAAGCTCCTCTATATATTCCTTCCTTGGTATATCACAATAATGTGACGTCACTCGTAAGCCATTTGCCTGGGTAAGCCGTGAGGGAAGGACCTAACATAACTGCCTGTTGTGTGGTGATTACATTTATAGTATTTTTATATTAAGTTATTTAAATATAAGCTTATGTCGATACTGTCAAAGATGGTGAGTAAATTGTTGGTATTTTTATTTTCATAATTAAGTTACTTGTGCTGTTAGAGAGTTGGTTAACCACCCCCAAGGTAGTTTGTCGGTGACCGGTAATAAAGTCACAGAAAAAAGTCACAATTTTGGCTAGGAAAAAAGTCACATTTCCTTTAAACACCACAGATACTGATTAAAGTAATTAAACAAATAGTATTTTATGTCGCTTATTAACTGACAATACAAGGCAATGAAACAAATCACAGTTTATTAGAAACCTTTAAAACAGTCATTTATTGAAGTACTTACATGACATGTACACGTTGAAAACAACTTACATAATAGCATGGCATTACATGTATGTTTAGTGTTGATGATTAAGACGAATATTCCAACCGACGCCAGGAAGATGTGTTGTGGTCCTCCCGTCGAGCACCACACGAAGGCGTTCTTGTACCTGCTCATGGCGTCGACGAACTCTTCCTTGATGTGGGTCGCCAACAGCATCCTGCTTGATGTGGTGCTCACTGTCGCTTCTTCAAGCTGAAACCATTCAATGACACGCCAGATTGAGGGATGGTAGTGACCGACGAGGTTGAACAACTTATTCCACCCTTCACAGATGTTGTAAGTATGAGCATTGTTGTTCATGGTGGTGTCATGCACATTCCATAGGTGTGGGGCATTCTCAGAGGCATCAGGGCATCACTGGGCATGGCAACTGGCTGCTGAAAGGAGCTACTAATATATGTAGGATCAAAATACATGAGCAACTCCTCGGCTTCAGGTGGAATGACAGTTTCGAGGTATCTCATGCCTTCAATAACGTCTTCCAGGGGCATTAATCATGCCACAAAACAAACGAAACTCAACATTGACATTACAGTATACTGTACTGTGTACTCAAATCCAGTTCCTGGATCTTACGCCAAGTGGACTGTGTAAGATGGCAGAAACAGCCTTTGCCCTCTTTTTGTGTGACTTTTTTTACCTGGATTCAGTTTGTCAACCCAACAAGTATTACTTGAGTTTTATTCCGTCATCAAATGGAAATTTAGATGACGATGTTATATGAAAAGGTAATTGCAAAGATAAACTCCGCCATTTAATATAATATGCTGCCTTGGTATTAGTTTAGTTTATGTTGGTGTTTGCAGTAAGAAATAATTCGTTGCCGTCGACGATTTGGTGAATTTACAAAAATTAATAGGGTTAATATTCGTTTTTATCTCAATAGGTATTTCAGATTTTGGTTAATATATAGGACTAACCCGCCAGGGCTGCATAGCGCCGATGCGGCTGTATCACCTCACGTCCAGAAAGTGCCTGAAATTCAGTAGGCATCAAGTAAATTGCAACTACAGTAAAAATCTAGCCATTCCATACCTTGGTCACCTTTTAAATGAGACGGAAATCCACTTTAATACAAAGTCAAGGACATGTGCTGCCCTCTTCCAAATCATTACAGATAGCCAGTAATTTAATAAATGGTAAAATGATAAAATTAAATAAATAAAGTAAAAATAACTTTGGCATTGTTTGTAAAAAAATTGCTATTTTGGATAATTGACTTTTCCTCATCTCTCTCCCTTTTGAGTTAAGGTGCTGGAAAACTCTGAATACCAAGAAAGAAATGTCACCATCTAATTTCATTGAATCTGTTATATATTGTGACATGTAAAGTATTTCTATATCTGTATGAGCTACTGTGTGTCTAGTAGGTTCTTCTGAAGCTGAATGCACTCTCTATGGACTAAGGCACATTTAAAGCTGCCTGAGAAACAGGATGACAGTGGAAAAATGAACCCTCTGGTACCCATGGTCAGAAATCTCAACCCCTTGCAGTCTTTCAACACAGGTTGGTTCGGTAACAGAAATGATTTTTCTATTTTTGTAAACATTGGGTAGAGTGATCCAAACCTAAATTGCACCCTTAGAGGTGCATCTCCCAGCCCATGAGGCTAGTGGGAGGAACTTAGTGGTTGACAGGACTGGTCCACTGTTTCTGCATTTCTGCTTACAGGATGGGTGCTCTCAGTGTGAGATACTGCTGAACAGGAGGGGTCACGCCAGCACAGGGAGGCTTAGTAATGCAATCTGCGTAGAAAGGTCATTAGAGGGTTAACTGGCCTGGTGCATCATGACACTGAAATAGTTTTACAGGTCATGATTTACATGTTTGTTCAGAAAACAACAGAAGCCTCTTCACAAAAACAAATCCTATTTGAATGCTGTGTATGGCGCCTTTGAATTTTATTTTTATTTTTTGTAAATAGGTCGCTGTAATTTTATTAATTTTATTCACATTCTCTGAAATCTTTGTCCATGTACATTGTACTTCCAAATTTGTGGTTGTGGTGTTCAAAGTTGCCTTTTATTTTTAGTGCAGTCAATAACATATTCTTATCTTCATCTTAGCTTATTATTAGGTTATTTACCTAATGGCCACCCACTACAGAAGGCCATACAGAGGGAAGAAGGCCAGTGGCCTGTGTAGGATCCCCCCATTGTTCTTCATATTCTTGTATAGGGCTGTTTTGAAACCCAGTTCTGTTCTCTCGATTCCACATCTTGAACTGGTAGACTGTTCCATAGGTCTACCAGCCTCTGTGTGAGGAAGTATTTCCTTATATTTATCCTGCACGATAACTTGGGGAACTTATAGTAATGTCCCCTCGTGTTGGTGGTGCTTAACTTCACAAAGAATGACCCAGGTTAACATTTTCCATTCCTTTCATGATTTTGAATGTCCCTATGAGATCTACCATATTGTGTCTTGTCTGAAGAGTTTTTAGTCCTTAAGCACTCAGTCTACCTGGATAATCGAGATGATGTAGTTCAGGAATCATCTTAGTTGCTCTGTGTTGCACCTTTTATATGAATGTTAAGTCTTTCTGGAGGTAGAGTTTCTGTGCCTAAATACAGTAATTCAGCTGGGAACCTACATGATACTTATAAGGTTGAAGGAACCTATTCTTAGCTTTATATTTGAAGGTACTACTAATAATTCTTAAATCTTGGTTAGCTATTTTCATTGCTGCCCCCACTTGTTGTGCCGCCTTCAGTGATTGGTTTATCACAATGCCTAGATTTTTCCTTATCAACAGTGTCCATGAAAGTATTATTAACAGAATAGTTGTGATTAGGGTTGATGTACCCTACATGCAGAGTCTTACATTATTTAATGATATAAAGCCTATGCCAGTCATGCAACCATTGGCACAGGTCCAGCAGATATTATTGCATGGTTGTGACATCATCTTGACTTGGTGCCTTCCCAAATATCTTTGTGTTGTCCACAATCCTGACAATATGGTAATATACTGTCATCTATGTCATTAATGTAGGTCACAAATAGGGTGGATCCAAGGATAGAACCTTTTTCTAAATTGAATTTACCCCATTTAATACCACCTTTTGAGCCAACTGTACATCCATTTCAATATATTGCCTGTGATGCCTTGTGCCTGGATCATAGAGGCGAGTCGTACATGTGGGATTTGTCAAACGTCTTAGAAAAATCCATATATCCTCTACAACCCATCCACTGGTAGACCTTGGTCCAGGTACCCTCTTACCTTTTGGAAGAAAGTGAGTATTTGTTAGGCAGGATTTTCTCCATGAAACTGTGTTGTGATGCATTGACAAGACTGTGCTTTTTCAGGTGTTGGATGATGGCACCACATCTCTTAAAATTTAATCTTTATATTTTCATATACTGTACTGTATGTGATGTTAGGCTGATCAGCCTGTAGTTCTCTCCTGTACTTTTTCTACCCTTCTTGTATACTGGGGGGATGCTGGCTGATTTCCAGTCCTTAAACATTGTACCTTGATCCAATAATTTACTGAATAGGAGTTTTAATGGAGTAAATCTTGTTTGTTACTTCCTTTATCACTTTGGTCTGTGCTCCGGCTACCCTGTCCACCTTAATCTAATCGTTCTTTGAATTTGCATGACATTTGTAAGTGTTTAGTACAGTTGTGAACCAAAGTTCACTCCCCGCGGTGCAACTGAGTCACGGGAATGAGTCTCTGAACTGACTTACCCAAACTGTTGTACTTATATCTCGTTTGGGGTCGATGCTGCTTCATTTTGGCCCTTACTGAAATGCCTACATCTGGCCTTACCCCCACCACTCAACAGCACTACTGAGGAACACTATAAACAACCATTTCTACTCAAGTGTTGGGTTTCCCTCACTCCATTACACACTCTTTCTACCATTCTTGAATATAAGGTGATGTTTGTTGACATGAATACTGTATATATGTATAGACTACCTAATCACCTAATCTTGTCGTGTGTACACTCTACCAAAAAAGTAACGGCCCTTTTCTCATTTATACAATGTGTCACAGGGGATGAATAACAAGAACTGCTTGATATCACAGCTATCATCAGGGAAAAGGCCTAGGATAATGACTATCAATTATCAAATACTGTGATGTTTTGACTTTCACTTTCTTCACAGTATCAACTTGATGTGAACTACCAGACAACAGAGAGCATCAGTGACCCTTGTACTGCTGTCACAATCACCGCTCAGCGTCCTGAAGAGAATGTGATGCTGGGAGACCCAACAAGAACCTTCTTGCATGCTACAGTAGGGTCTTCAGTGGTACTGTCCTTGAATTTAAAATGTAAGTACTGTATAGTATAGTACTGTACCTTCATTAAACAAATTGTTCTTGCAAAAAAAGAAATGAAAAGGTAATGAATGCAAATTGAGTACAGTACAGTACATACTTAAGGATATACAGTACAGTATTCTAACTGCTTTGATAGATGTGCTATTTTATGGTATTCCCCTTCCTGGATATTATATCATAAAAATGAAGTGTTTAGCTTATGTTATGTTTAATTATATATCTTTAATACTGTATAAGAATCCTAGAATTTAATTTTAAGTAATTTAAGTTATAATTTCACCACTTATCAGCTTGCAGTAATATCTCCGTTAGCCGGAATCCCTCAAACCCGGAACTCTCCGATAGCCGGAATTGAAATTTTCTTGGAAAATCATTACCAAAATCAGAATTTTCCAGAAAATTCTGGCATTGGGAAAGATTTTTCGATGGGCACATTTTCTGGAAAATTCCAAGAAAATTTTCCCGGTACTGTATTCCGAAAATTCCTGGAAAGGGGAATTTTTTTCCGAGTTTGAGAGATGATGTAATGCTCAATTTCTTGAACTCCCAAGAATATTTTTATGTTACTCGGAAAATTCCAGGGATGAGGAATTTGTTTCCGGCTTTGAGAGTCATCTCATTACCCGGAAATCTCTCATTCCCGTAAGTGTTCTGCACCAATTGTTCCGGCTAATGAAGATATCACTTTACTAGTCATTCAGGCAGTTGGTCTGTTCTTTGTTAGTACTGTACTCTGTTATGAATTTGTCCAGCATTAGTACTGGAGAATACCTGCCATGTTTGGTAGTGTCACAATGGATAACACCCTTCCCACATAGGTCCGAGGTCAGGACTCAAACCTAGGACACAGTGGGTAAGAGATATGTGTGTAATCACTGTAGGTAAATTGAGTTTTGTTCAGGGGATGAAATAGTAGTCTGAAGCCTTTGATTGAAATGACTTAACCTCAGGAGTAAAATGACATGGTCCCTTGAATTAAGACATTTATTTAATGAAGGAGTTAAATCATCATACTCAAGGGGGTTAAGTCATCATATTGAAGGTGTAAAATCATCATACTCTAGATGTAAAGTCATCATACCCAAGGGATTAAATCATTGGGTTAGGTTATTCATTGATCAGATCGATAAGGGGAAAGGGGTGAAAAGATAACATGTCTTAACTAATTTATTGCTTATAAAACATACTGCATTCCGGTAAAATACAAATGAGTTGGCCTTCTTTAGAAGAACAACGATGATTTTGATTACCCTTCTTACAATATCACTCAACACGTCGGACGGCTCCACCTGTATTTAATATAGCACCTTAGGTCATCATACATAGTAATGTAGGGTTATGAGATGTTGGTTCACACCCAGGATGGGATGGAGAAAGGAGACTCACAATGTGCTCACTGTATACATATTGTATTGGATGTACAATGCAGCTTGTTGCTGGGTAGGTAGCATGGTAATAAGCGTTGGGTAGAGAGAGCTGGGTGGTGAGGGTTCCCAGAGTGAGGGCACGCGGCTTGAGGGACGCCAAGGTCGCTGGCGGGAGCGGAGGAGGAGGTGTTACTTGCTGGTGGCACTGTGTAGAAAGAGAGGCTGGTCACAGCGGTGTCAGGCCTTATAAGGCGGGGGTAGGCGTGGGTAGATAGTTGACCCCCGCTCCGTGGGCGGCGCTGGAGGCGTAGGCTGTGGAATTCGAGAAGGTTCGGTGCTTGTAGGGGAGGAATCCACTACAGTAACACCATCTCACCTCCCTGTAGCACCAGCTCACCACACCTGTTATACTCCACACCTGCAAGTATGGGACTCCTTGTAATTTCTAGGTACACATATCAGGCACCTCGTTCGCACACTGCCCTCGCTGGGTAGAGACAAAGGTTTCACCAAGAGACATACCAGTGCTGTTTCTACGCCTGGTATTATCGGTCGCTGCAAGTGACAACCGCGGAGTTTCTCAAGCGTTTCCTTATTTATTCCTACTCATCTGGGGTGGTATGCTGGGAATTCACAGGTTCACAGTGGATTAGCCGAGCTGGGAGTAGTCATCTCACATGGTGGGACGCTCACGGGGGTAATGGCCGCCGTGCTGCAAGGCACTCCGACCGACCGCGTGGGACCTTAGGTGATGAGAGAACGGAGGATACTAAGAAATAATGCCTGATGGGCCGTTATCACACACCCTAACACATTACTATTTCACTTATACATCAGGTAAAGCCTTAACTGTAATAACTGCTATGTAAGTCTCTTTTTTTTTTTAGGGCTGAATACAGCCCGATGAAGTTCACTGACCTTTGGTGATGAGAGAACGAAGGACACTGAGGGCAGTGCCCTGCCGCTCCTCACCGCATAGGCCTACAGTTTCCAATCTTTAATTTTTACTTTTATTTCTTACGGTTCTCACCTGAACACTTTCCTGTATATTGTAACCTCATGTCTTATAAACATATTTTAATCCTAAATTACACACTGAGGTAAGGTTCTCGTTTGCTAGTTCGTGGGTAAATTCATTGGGTTATAATATCAACGCGACACACTCGAGGCGGGCACAAAGGACGCTACCTTGAAACAAAGGCCGAATGTTCATGACGTGGGTATATCCACTTCACTTAAAACTGTAATTAGGGATCCTCTTCTCACACATTGCACTATTTGAACACAGACATAAGATTTTCCGATCACTGTACATGTCGTGGGTATATGTCACCCGAGGATACGAGGTGTATTCAGTTCACACCGATGCATACAAGATATTTCCTTTCAAGTATAGTGTCTGGGTCACCTCCAACACCTCACATAGTTCTGATACATTTATCCCTTTACCGGATCATTGTTCTCATGTATTTTCATATGATATCTGCGGAAGTTATGTTCACTAAACATTCACAGACGTAAATACGTAGTATGACCTTCAAACTACGATCTACACTTAGCCCGGATAGTACACTAGCCCGGATCAATTGGACTCTCACAGCCCTCTTATAGATACCTTGAGTTCTCCTTAATGCTATGAATACATACAATTAATATTATATAACCGTACCTGGGTACAATACAACACATGATTCAGTAACATTGAGTAGGTGAGTTATCCTTTATCAATGTTTCCCGTTCTCTGAGGTTCTACAAGCGCGGTGGATTTGAATGTTATGTAGCGTAATATGAATTAAAGAGGGTTTTTAGGAATGACAATGATGTGCGTAGTACAATGCCTGAATAACCAGGGGCTATATTTTTGGTATTAGAGATGGCTCTGTTGAGTTCTTCTGAGGTGATTGGTTTGGACAATGGGCTGTCCACTCTCACATCCTCCCATATGATTTCAGGGGAAGGCTGAGGTTTTTTTTTTGTAGAGAAAGGAGGGGTGAAAGAAGATTAGGGGTGGGGGAAGGAAGTTATAGTTTGGAAATTGAAGAAATTTAGGAGGAGGTAAGAGAGGGCGGGCTGACTGCCTAGATAAGCTAATAGTGTGTTAGGGTTGTGTCATGGGTTAGTTATTGTCTGCCGGTACAGGCACTAGACAGCTACCCTGTCCCATATATGGGTGTTTTAAGGGCCTTATTTCATATTCTGCCGACCCTACTGGTGGATGCTGGTCTAGGGAGGTTGTCTATTGCCTGGCCGTGTAGATCAGGGGTGGTAATGGACCTTTTGAGATTTGGTAGCTTTTTGGGAACCATGTCTGGTTGTTGTCGTTATCTGGTGGGAGTCCTTGAAGGAGTTCTTGCTCTGATAGTTTATTAGTTCTCCACGTTATAATTCATTATTTTCACTGCATTACGTAGCGAGTCCATTGTATCTTGTTATTGTTTTTTGGGGGGATCTCTTAGATTCGTGGTTTGTTCACTGTGTTGTACTGCGCACATCATTGTCATTCCTAAAAACCCCATTTAATTCATATTACGCTATATAACATTCAAATCCACCGTACTTGTAGAACCTCAGAAAACGGGAAACATTGATAAAGGATAACTCACCTACTCAATGTTACTAGACCATGTGTTGTATTGTACCCAGGTACAGTTATATAATATTAATTGTATGTATCCATAAGTTGAATGTTAAAGTCCAGTTGAGCCGGACTAGTGTACTGTAGGACTAAGTGTGGATCATGGTTTGAAGGTCGTACTATTTACGTCTGTGAACGTGTAGCGAAAATAACTTCCACAGATATCATATGAAAATACATGAGAACAATGGTCTGGAAAAAGGATAAATGTATCAGAACTATGTGAGGTGTTGGAAGTGACCCAGAAACTATACTTGAAAGGAAATATTTTGTATGCGTCGGTATGAACTTGATACACCTCGTATCCTCACGTGACATATACCCACGACAGGTACAGTGATCAGAGAATCATATGTCTGTGTTCAAACAGTTTTAAGTGAAGTTGATACACCCCCGCCATGAACATTCGGCCTTTGTTTTAAGGCGCGTCCTGTACCCGCCTCGAGTGTGCCTTGTTGATATTATAACCCAATGAATTTACCCACGAATTAGCAAACCAGAACCTTACCTTAGTTTGTACTTTAGGGTTAAAATATGTGTTTATAAGGCATGAGTGACAATATGCCGAAAAGTGTTCAGGTGAGAACCGTAAGAAATAAAAGTAAAAATTAAAGATTGGAAACTGTAGGCCTACTCGGTGACGAGTGGCGGGGCACTGCACTCAGTCCTTTCCGTTCTACCGTCACCTCAGGTCAGTGTCCTATCGGGCTGTATCCCGCCCTGTAATTAAGGCTTATATAGAAGTTATTACAGTTTAAAGCTTTGCCTGATGTATAAGTGTAATAGTAATGTGTTAGGGGGTGTGATAACCGCCCGTCAGGCATTATTTCTCAGTCCCTTTCGTTCTACCGTCACCTCAGGTTCCATGCGGTCGGAGTGTCTTGCCCTATGAGCGTCCCAACAGGTGGTGACTACTCCCATCTATGCCAATCCACTGTGAACCTGTGGATTTCCAGCACACCACTCCAAATGAGTAAGAACAAATAAGGAAACGCTTGAGAAACTCTGCGGTCGTCACTTGGAGCGACCTATAATACCAGGCGTAGAAATAGTACTGGTCTGTCTCTTGGTGAAGCCCTCGTCTTTACCCAGTGAGGGCGGTGTGCGAACGAGGTGCCTGTTGTGTATACCTAAAAGTTACAAGGAGTCCCATACCTGCAGGGGTGGAGTGTAACAGGTGTGTTGAGATGGTGCTACTATGTATGATAACCGACGGTGCTATATTCCATACAGGTGGAGCAGTCTGATGTGTTAAGGGATAGTGTAAGAAGGAATGACCGAGGTAAGGTGGTCACAGATTGTTATGCAATAAGTATGTGGATGACACGCCATTAATGTAAGACGTCTGGTGCCCATCTGGGTAACCAACATTTTCGTTGTTCTTCTGAGGAAGGCCAATTCATTTGTATGTTTTTTACCAGTATGCTTTATAAGGAATAAATTAATTAAGACATGTTATGGTTTCACCCTTGTTTTCCCTCATCGATCTGGTCAATGGAAAACCTAACCCAATGCCTAGTCCACTCTGCACGCTACCTAACGAGCTACATGCTGTCCAGTGGGGGTCTGGTGGCAGCACCCCTTAGAAATTAAGATGAGAGTTAAGTATTTAGTTTAGGTACTCCTGAATGTGCTGCTTAAGGATCTGTTAACCAAAATTTGATATCTTGATTATAACTTGTTCAAATGGCTTTTAGAAAATGTTCAAATGATTTTTAGAATATTTTAATTACTTTTGCAATGCTAATTACTCGCCACTTATGGGTTTTCGAGGTCATTTCTTGGTGCTTGTGTATTATTCTGGATGTACTTAAATAGTTAGGCACATTAAATTTTAGTTCAGAGAGAAAACGTATTTTTGGCCAAAAATCCTTTAAGGCTATAGACTTACAATTTTCATTTCGGCCAAAAAATGGATTTTGTTCAAAATTTCAGTATAGGTACTCCTGAATGTGCTGCTTAAGGATCTGTTAACCAAAATTTGATATCTTGATTATAACTTGTTCAAATGGCTTTTAGAAAATGTTCAAATGATTTTTAGAATATTTTAATTACTTTTGCAATGCTAATTACTCGCCACTTATGGGTATCAAACTAAAACACGAGAAAAGATTGGACCAATACTGTCAGATAG